TAGTTTCGTATTGATTGTTGATTGTACCTTACAATGTTACATCCATTCATGTAATGTTGTTCGCAAAATCGGTGTATATCACAAAGCGTAATATTACACAGCCTGCGGAATGTCCTACTCCTACACAGCAAAAAAAAATGTAACATCGATCAACGTAATTCAAGCTGATGTATGAAATAATGATGTAATAGCAAAAAGCAGATACAATATTACATCAATGGATGTAATTTTGTTCGCAAAATCGATGTACATCGTACAACGTAATATTACACAACCGGCGGAATGATCTCTGTGCAGCTGTTTGGATGTAATATTCCACAACTTTTTTTTTCTGTGTACACACTTAGATTATTTTACAGGAGTCAGTATTTTTAACTGGGTTTTTAAATTGCTGAATCAATGAAATCTACAAATTTTATTTTCTATCATTATGTGGGACTAGCGGCGCCAGTGGTGATTAATTTTGTAAGCGTGATTGCCTCTCACTCCAAAAGGCCTGTGTTCAGTCCCAGTCGGTGCAGCCGGATTATCTGAGCCATAAAATCCTCATCACGCCTTCCTCCGGAAGGGAAGTGAAGCCGTCCCGGTTCATGAGTTGATGAGTCGATAGGTAGGGTCCAGGTATGAGAGCTAGCTTGCTGGCGTTGGTAGCATTGGTGCTCAGCACGGAAAACCAGATCGACGGAAAACAAATCAAAGGAAGAAAGAAAAAAAGAAATGAGATTAACAGAACTATATCTGTACAAGTTCGGAATAAGTTTCATATTTTTGAATTTTCTGCAGAGTTTTAAACTTTTATCGAACAGTCCGCAATTAAAAACCCAGTAAAACATTATTGACTGGATTAGTGTGTATATGTTATGTGCAACTTATCTGTTGTAATATTCAACGAATTGGTTCGGTATTGGTGCTAAGTTGAAAGTTCACAATCGCATAAATTGTTTCGTCCACGTCTTTGGAGTCGTCAGCAACATCTCGAAGCGCTGCCAATAGTTTTACGAATTTAATATCAATTGCAGCCGAGCAGACTCCGGCATCCTTAAGGCAGTTCTCCACGAGTCTTATCAAATAACTATCCGTTAGAAAATCGAATCCGTATTTGTACTTGAAGTTGACGACCAACCGAGCAAGGTCCAGCATTTCTCTTCCGGGGAGTAGCTGCACAGCAACCTGTATCCAATTGACCAAAAATCGCAACCCGGAGTCCAGCAGCGATGGCTTCTTTTCGCATCCCAAATCGTCCAGAGTTAGAATTTTATGCCTCAGAAATCCATTGACCAATCCGACCAGTTCTGGACTGATTTCCTGCCGGCCTTGGACATGGTCATAGCCAAGTTTATAACTATCGTTGAAATGTAATCCACAAAATTCCAACTGGAGCTTCCACAGCGGGAGCAAATCTGGGCTTGATTCCTGGGGCAGTATTTACTGAATTTGACCAACGATTTGCACAATTCAATGATCGGCTCGGTTACCTCCGAAGCCTGCTGCTTAATTTGATCCAAATGTATCCGCAGTTGAAGTGAGATGAATTTAACGATTTCTACCAAAATCTGATCCGGAGGGGATTTCCCACTGAGGATTTTCAATTTCTCTGATAGGGATTTCAGCGTTTTCATATCCAGAACAGAGCTGTTTTGAAAGTTGAGATACACAGCAAAAAAAATGTAAAATCGATCAACGTAATTCAAGCTGATGAATGAAAAATGATGTAATGGCAAAAAGCAGATACAATATTACATCAATAGATGTAATTTTGTTCGCAAAATCGATGTACATCGTACAACGTAATATTACACAACCAGCGGAATGACCTCTGTGCAGCTGTTTGGATGTAATATTCAACAACTTTTTTTTCTGTGTACTTACTCAAAATCCACACGGAACTTACCGTTGGCTCAGATTCTATTCTTTCAAAAATAGGGTAGAGAACTACTTCGGTCTAATCGCCCATTTTGGGCCTATCGAGCAGAAAACATCAAATAAATCCATGATTTCAGAGTTAACAAGTCAATTATGGGTTTGGTACGATACTTTAGTCAATAAGCTGTCGAACGAAGTCAATGAGAATGCGTTATATGAAGCTTTGCACCCATAATTCACAAAAACAAAAGAAGCGCTCCGACCGAATCAATTTTTATCTTCATCCGAAAGGCCGAAGTGAATTCATTGGCGATTCAATGCGTTAGGCCGAATTTAGAATCCGTAGGCCGAGTTTGGCATCAAGAATCAGTGTTAGACTTTTGACAATATCTCAACGATTGGTTTCTCTTTATTAAATCTTACGGTACGTACAGAAAGGTAAATAAATTTGGAAGCCATCAGTAATAATAACATTTCGTTTGATGCTAAACTGTCCTAGATTAAGAAAGACTAAGTGCGCGTTGTGCTTAATAGGCCGGAAAGGGGGTAGTTAACCCTACTAAGAATCTCCACTAATTGTAAGTACTGCTTGGAAGCCTCACCCAAGCTAAGAATTATTTCCAAATAAGGCAAACTCTTGTGGAATAATTCTGCCATTTCCATCTCGCTAAACTTCTCTATATATCACTTATGCGAAAAATTTCGCTGCCCGCTTCTGATACACACTGAACAGTCGATACAGCAGCACCGTTGAGTTATCGAACACATCGTTGTAGATCCCTACTGCTTTCGCCCGGATCGCGAAATCGTCAGACTCGGACCAATGCCGCAACAATCGAATTGTGGTGGAGCAGATCACATCCATTCGTATGTGCATCGTATATCGCCTTGAGCACCATCCGACTCACCCTTAGCAACAGCTCCGTGTGCTCTTCCGCCCAATGGCAATCTTCCAGCAAGCAAGCGCATTGCACTAATAATATGTGTCGTTTATTCTGAAAAAGTAAAATTTATTACTCAGAACCCTTCTAAACAAAATCAACTCAGGCATAACATTTGATAACGGCACAAAAGCATTTGTAAACAAACTTTCTAAGGCCCTTTACACGCGAACCAAAGTACGCCCACGCAAACCAATACCATTTTCGGAAAGGTGATAGTTGCCCCTATCCGATGATGTTGGTTTGCGTGGGCGTACTTTGGTTCGCGTGTAAAGGGCATTAGAAAGTTTGTTTACAAATGCTTTTGAGCCGTTATCAAATGTTATGCCTAAACTAAACTTACCACCTTCCCACTGAACTTCACCGCCAAATTATGAATTCTAAGCACAAAGCGGCATCGAATTCCATCCACCGCCTCGCGACACACTCCAATCAGGTACCTCAGTGCTTCCAGCAGGTCCTCCTTCCTATCACCATCCTCCCCATCCTCCGACTCCCCGAAGACCGTCAACAGTTCCACTACGGATGAGCGAATGCATACCGAGTATGCCCGGGTTCTGTCAATGTCTTCTCGGTCGCGGTTGACTCTGACTTTGGTTAGAAGCAGGGACTGAAGAAATCTGTAGCAACAATGGCAACAAGCGCGATTCATTGACAGCTCAACATCGTTTACTTGTGAGCAAATGTAAACCCGATGTGTTCACCCCTAATCATTTTGGCCTATGATCTTTTATTATACAAAAGAAAAGCAGATAACAACTAAACGTCATAATGACATGCTGTTTGACAACAGGCTCTCCCTTTCAATTTTTGTTAGAGAAAAAGAGATAACATACGGTACCTCCTACTTTAAGCTAGTACATATGAGTAGATAGTGTTGCCGTGAGGTACACTCGAAAATTTCAAATTTAAGTGCGTCAAATCAAATTTCGAGCCGCTCCGTCTGTCACTTCGTTTGTGCTATCGTGGAGTTTATCCGAAAGGACATCGATACAAACAGAATCAAAAGCCCCCTTAATGTCCAAGAAAATTGAACCCATTTGCTGTTTTTGCGCATAGGCCAGTTGAATTTCAGATGAAAGCAACGCAAGACAGTCGCTCGTTCCCTTGCCTCTCCGAAATCCAAATTGCGTATCTGAAAGTAAACTCAACTCAACCCATTTGTCTAGACGAAAAAGAATCATTTTCTCCATCAATTTCCGTATACAGGACAGCATCGCGATGGGACGGTACGAGTTATAATCCGACGCGGGTTTACCGGGTTTTCGAATGGCGATAACTCTTACTTGCCTCCAGTCATCCGGAACATTGTTGTGCTCCAGAAATTGATTGAATAAGTTCAACAAGCGTCTCTTCGTGACGTCTGGGAGATTTTTCAGCAAGTTGAACTTGATTCTATCCATTCCTGGAGCTAAGTTGTTAATGAAAGGAGAGCAAGTGAGGAATCTATTTCGTTATTACTCGACGGACGATCACGAACGTTGGTTTGAACCGACACCGAATCCGGGTAAACTTTCCGCGCGAAGCTGAATATCCAACTGTCCGAGTACTCCTTATCTTCGTTAATCGGTGATGACGCGTTTCGCATTCTCCTGCCGACATTCCAGAGTGTTCTCATGGAAGTCTCTTGCGACAAACCATCGACGAACCGACGCCAGTAACCGCGTTTTTTTGGCTTTAGTCAAGCCCTTAAAGGTTTTCTCGAGGTCGGTGTACCGCTCGAAATCCTCGACCTTACCGTGTTTGCGGAAGCGCTTAAACGCGGCGGACTTCTCGCTGTTCGCGTCGGTGCATTCTTTATCCCACCACGGGGTGGGAGGTCGTTTGCGAACGGAAACACCCGGAATACGTTTCGTCTGTGCTCGCAGCACACAATCGATGATGACACGCGCGAGAAAGGAGTACTCGTCCAGCGGAAGAAGTACGTCAACCGATTGACTGGCATCAAGAACCGCGGTCGCGAATTTTCGCCAGTCAATGTTTTTCGTAAGACCGTACACTCCAAAAAAATATCACATAAATTTCATGTGAAAAAGCACGTACAGCTAAAAAATATCGATGGATTGGCAAATACTTGACACCAATAAAACGTATTAGAATTTATATTAAAATTCAATTTTGAGGCTATTCAAAACTATTGGTTGTTTGTGTAAAAACTACGTGATTTTCATATAACCTGTTGTCACATAGATTCTATGTTATTTTCCAGTGTGAAAAAATATTTCAAGATGGCGAGTGAACGTTGTGTTTCTGACGATCTGCTCAACGATTTGGAATTTCCGGTTGATTTGTTGGACCTTTTTGCGAGTAAGATTGATTAAACTAAATTAATAAGCACAATTAATTGCATCATAGTTGTATTCCCCAGCAAACGGCATTGACGAATTCGATTTGTTAACAATCACACCCGAGCTGTTAGCAGAGTTGTTGCTTAGAACTGATGTGCCCTGGGTTGCAGGCAAAGTTTACGAGCGGATTTGTGCATGGAAATTCCGAAATGTAAGTAGAGCTCAACGTATATAGAATAATTAATATCATTCACGATATATTTCGCTTCATTTCCTCAGAAAATATCTGTTTTAAGCCTGCTCAGAGCTCGTCACATCGAGCTTGAAGGCGAATGTAGTTCCAGTGAAGGTATGTAATAGAAATAATTTGTAAACAAATACAAATCTTAAAAACAAATCTTTCAGCAGGTACCCATCAGCAGAACAGACCTCCAGCAGAACATTCGACAGAATCCGAAAGCTGGGTAGCAGAACCCGACTTGTTGGAAGAACTACTACTACCTATAAAACTTGATACTGATTACATAGTTGAAGTAACAAACGTGGTACAGTTTAAGGGTACTACTTATAGAAATAGCTATTTCATGTCGCAATTCATGCATCATCTGATGTATTTGTGCGAAATTTTAGAAATTCTTCGCTTTTCTGATAAGTTGTACTTCATTGCTCAATTATGGGTGTAAAGTCCGTACTGGACTTTAACTTCTTGACTGTGATATTTCACGGTCGTACGAAGCAATACGTTTTCTTTGCTGGTTAAAGCTGGAATGAATTTATTGTCTTCTCGAATTTATTACAAACTCCTAGCTGGAGACACTTGAAGCACCGATATGAAAAATGCTATGTACACGATCACCAATCAGCGATCGTTGTCCATGCGGGAAAAGGAAAGATATAAATCCATCGCTGTACACTCGGTAACAGCATGGTTCAATAAATTAGTAATGCGACACTTCTGTTTGTCGCCATAAACGCTGACAGATATTTTACAGGCATTGAACTGAAGGTTCAATGCCGGGTAGAATTATCCTTCTCAGCATGTTCCCACTAGTGTGGTCTGCTGGAAGTGCATAATGGAAAAGCATGGGAAATGACATGTGGGATGCACATGTCACACCATTCCCCTACGGGCCAAAATGTTAACGGTAAAGATTCGGTTTAGCTTCAAATGCCTCTCACAATTTTGTTTGCATTCACTGAATGTATTTATCTGCTTTTTTTTTGTTAATTTGTTGGTATGTAAAATGTCTATTGATTTCACTACTTTCACCCCTTCCTAATAGCGGGGGATGATCATTGTATGTATGTATTTTGATTATTGTTACTTTTTTTTCACTTTTTTTTTACTAACCTTGTTTTATGTACTTCTGCTCTTTTTCCATTTTGATTTATAATTATAGCATTTGATTCTTTTAGTTGTTCAATCTGATAGGGACCACTATAAATCGGTTGTAATTTATGCCTATTTTCAATTTGTAAATATACTGTATCACCTATTTGTAATTCTGTTGGTGTAATTGTTCTGTTCATACTATTTGTTCTTTTGTCCTTTCTGTTTAATATTGTTTGCATGACATTAGCGTGAGTGATTTGTAATCTGAATTTTAGTTCTTTTTGGTAAGAATCTAGATTATATAATGGGTCTACTTGCTGGTTTTCACAAAAATCAAAAGCGTTAATTTTTTTTCCAAAAATAATTTCAAAGGGAGTGAAGTTATGGTCTGTGCTTGGGGTTGTATTGTAAGCAGAACAATAAAATGGTAACCACTTGTCCCAATCGTCTGTGCGTTCGTTAGCGAACATTCTCAAATACTCGTTTAAGCATTTGTGATTGCGCTCTAACGCACCGATTGTTTGGGGGTGGTATGCCGTCGAACAGGTATGATTTAATTGTAGTAAATTGCATATTTCGTCGAATACTCCTTTGTATTCTGTTCCTTGGTCAGTTTTGATGCATTTCATGGGACCATATATCAGAATGCATTTTTCTACAACTGCTTTGGCAATTGAAACAGCTGTTTTATCTGGTACTGGAATTGCAATCACGTATTTGGAAAGATCACATTGCAGTGTTACTGCATAGCGGTTTCCTTTTTCAGTGAGTGTGAACGGTCCGATGGTGTCAATGGACACTACATCGAAGGTTTTGTTGGGTGTGGTAGTAACGATAACTGGTGTTTTCACCGGTATCGCGTGTTTATTTATTTTGCAAAGTTCGCATGATCTGACATAATCTGAAACTATTTGTTTCATATTAGGCCAGCTGTAAAGGGATTTGAGTTTCTTATATAGCCTATTTATACCAATATGACCTCCAACTGCAGAGTCATGGTATTGTTATATTAGTCACGGTTTTAATATATTAGTCATTTCTTCCTTTGCTTTGATTTCAACGGGTTTTTCGTAAATTATTATGGTAGCGTTCCTAAGAACAGCTTTACCGAAATTTTTAAATGAATTTAAATCAATATGTTTGAATAAAGTGTCGTTTGTTTGTATTGCTAGCTTCTTTGGAAATGTTCCTTCCATATTTGTATTATCGGCAGGCCTGCCATCGATTATTTCAAGCGCTTTTCCTAATTCTAATTTAATATTTTCAGGATTTTCTAATGCGAGTGCTAACGTTGGGGTTAGTGTCTTCCGAAAATTTTTATTATATATTATCAAATTTATAAATGTTTTATCTCTATTATATGAAAACGTTAATTTTGGCAAGTCAAATGCCTCCAAATTACTGACAGCTTCGTACACATGGAGTTGATCAGACTCCTGCGATGGAAGGTCAGGTATTTTGGTTAAATTTTTCCTCGTCATCGATCTTGTTACTATATACATTTGTTTCAGTGTTTCAGTGGTAATTTGTATCCTAGACAATGCATCTGATAGCACGTTGGATTTACCTTTGATATATTCCACTTCAAAATTATATTCTTCTAAATCCCATCGCATACGGGTTAGTTTAGAAGTTGGTTTCTTAAGTGAAAATAAATATATCAATGGGCGGTGGTCGGTACGTATGGTAAATTTCCGACCGTAAATGTATGGCCTGAAATAGTTTACGCCCAGTGGATCGCAGTCAGCTCTTGTTCTATCGTTGACTTGTTCGATTCACCTTTCGTAAATGGTTTGCTAGCAAATGCGACTGGTAACTCGATACCATCGTAAAGCTGAGCTAGTACTGCTCCACAGGCTACTTTTGACGCATCTGTTATAATAATGAATTCTTTTTGATAATCAGGAAACTGCAAAATCTGGGGGGATAGCAATTTCATTTTCAAAGTTTCGAAAGATGATTGACATTTTTCATCCCAGTTGAAAACTGTCTCTTTGCGTAGTAATTTGTTCAGTGGGTAAGTTATATCGGCAAAATTTCTGATGAATCGACGATAATAATTGCAAAAAGCAACGAATCGTCGTACTTCATCTGCATTCTTTGGAACTGGATAGTTCACAATTGCCGAATATTTATTTTTATCGGGCTGTATACCATCCTTCGAGATATGATGTCCTAGGTAGGTTACCTCATTCTTGAAGAAATGGCATTTAGATGGATTCAATTTTAAGTTAAACTTTCGTAATTGTAAAAACACTTTACGTAAATTTTCGATGTGGTGCTTAACAGAACATCCTACAACGATAATGTCGTCTATATAAAGAAATGCGCAATGTGGCGGTAAGCCACTTAACGCGATCGACATCATTCGTTGAAATGAGTTCGGGCTAATATTTAATCCGAACGGGAGTCTATTAAACTGAAAATGACCCTGTTCCGTGGAGAAGGCTGTGTATTGTTTTGAAACTTCATCTAAAGGAATTTGATGAAATCTTGACATGAGGTCGAGTGTTGTAAAGTACTTCGCTCGACCTTAGTGGTCTAAAATTTCATCAATTCTGGGAAGCGGAAATTTGTCGGGAATAATTTGTTTGTTGAGTTGCCTGAAATCAATTACTAAGCGCCATCTTTTCTCATCGCTAAAAGATTTCTTCGGCACTAACAAAATTGGCGAATTAAATGGGGATATTGAGTGCTCAATGATACCTTCATTGAGCATTTTCTCAACTTGAGTGTTTATTTCTGTTTTTTGGGATTCGGGGGTTCGATAATTCTTGATATATACCGGTTTTTGTTGATTTAGTTGTATGTTCTGTTCATAAAAATTGTTATGAGTTAGAACATCGTTTTGTAACGAGAAAATGTCATTAAATTCACATAGAGATTCTATATGCTCTTTGATTTTTGGTTCTAAACTCTGCGTATTGGTTTCTTCTTTTAATTTTTGTTCTCTTTCTGGGTTATACAATTTTTCGTTAATTGGTTGATAATCATACTTATTTAGTGAGTCATAATTTGGTTTGAAAGTTTTTGGTAATTTAAAATTATTGTCCGTGGTATTTATAAATTTGTCTTTTTTCACAATTGAATTTGCACAGAAAATTCCTGGTGCCACTTCTTGTGAAAAAATAACACTGTCTTCGGTTAAATTTATATTTGTTATTTGTTTGACAATTTCACATCTGGCTGGAAGTATAATTGGTCTTTCGCCATTATTTATTATTGGTATCTCTAACGTTTCGAAATCTATAGTTACTTTGAGTAACCAAGACTCGTAATCAATTTTGCATCTGTAGTTAATCAAAAAGTCTCTACCGATGATTCCATCGGTGGGGATTGGGCAATTTTCATCTACGATGTGAAATTTATGTGGTATTTTAATACCATTCAGTAGTATGTTCGTGTACGTAGTTCCAATTGTACTAATATTACCTTGTCCTATCCCAATAATATTACATTTCTCCGAGGGGTAATGAATTTGTGAGCCTTTTATTTTATTGTCTTTTATGATCGATATGTCAGATCCGCAGTCCACAATAAAAAGATTTGGCGTATCTGACATTTCGAGCATAAGTCGAACATAATTTGTGGCAGATACATTTATTGTGTATGCTGCCTGAGCGGTACCCCTAAAGGGTGGATATTTCCATTATTTGGTAAATTTTGAGTTTGCTGCACAAACTGTTGTTGTGGTTGTCCCTGCTGTGGGGGCATTTGATGGTTTATATTTTGTGGAGGATTTTGGTTTTGCACGTAATACGTATTATGGTTCATTCCTCTTCCTCGAGACCTCCCGTTTCCACGGTGGTGGTATGAGTGTTCGCGATTGTAATTTTGGTAATTACCGCGAGAATTGTGACCACGTCTATTATTTCCTCTTCCACGAGACTGATAATTTCCTCTGCCAGGTGTGTAACCGCCTCTTCTGGCGTACATGATTTGAGACGTGCTCGAGTTGCTTCCTGCCGATTCATTTTCTGTAATTTTTTCAACTGCAGCTGACAGTGTATTAAACTGTCCTGCTTTCAGTAATAATCGTGTTTCGCTGTTTTTTACCCCACCTGCTAGGGCTTTAACACCTGCCTTAACGGCCATACGTAATGCCGTATCGACTGGTATTTCCTCGCTTATATAAGCGCGTTCTAATTCCATAGTGAGCTTTTCAATTTGCTTAGTGAACTTGACGATATCGCCCGTCTGCTTGGTGGCGTTTAATTTCGCAACGACGGTTTCAGGTGCGATTGTTATTTTGCATTTTCGTTTTAAACTTTCAATGGTTGCATCGACTGTCTGTGGGTTGTCTCCCACTGCCGATCTAGCTTTACCTTCAAGGCGCGAAAGCACTACTTGAATCGCTACGGCTCTGTTTGCGTCCGTAATAAGAGTTTTTAATGCCGCCAATGCGGATAATATCGACGGTAATTTATCGCCTGACCCATCATATTGTGGGACCAGAGACGATACAATTTTAATTATTTCGGCAATGCTAGCCATTTTATTTTGTTTGCAAGTAAGTTTATGCTTTAATTTAATGTAGTAAAGTACTGCTAGAGCAGTACTTTTTAGACTAATCGGAGGATCCTTTGCATATACAAGTTTTTGCTCAATGCGTAGTGAAATAATTTCATATTTTTGACGTAGTCCCTTTATGTAAAATGTTAGTTCTGCTGATGTTAGCTTTGTTTCATGTGTTACAAGAATGTTGTTTACTTTTTTATATAAATCTTTTGATTTTTCCTTTAGTTTAAGTAAGAATCTCCTTGTGTAGTTCCTGTTAGGAGCTTTATTGAAGTTCATTAAGATATTGTTTAATTTGGCAATGCAAACATCAATTTCTAGTTTAGCTTGTTCAATATCCATAGAAATGGGTTAGATTTTAAATTTATTTATTTTTTTTTGGCATTTTTTTTTTTCATTACAATTTAATTTAAAATTTAAAAGCAGCATTCATGAAAATATTTATAATTGTAACTGTTACCTTTTCTATGTAGGACGGCATCCTGGCGTTTGATGTTCTGTTCGATTTCTTGAAGATTCTTGCTGTTCGGCGGGTCACTATCCTTAGCAACGGTATGCCTTTCGGTTTGACATCTAGGGCTGGTTTCGCTGTTGCTCAATCTCACTGCATACAGCGGAGGCGTACTCCTCAACGCTGTTATTCTTATCGATACGCATAAAACTGATTACTGTTGCACTATCATTTTCGTTGCGGTGGTGGCACTGTAGTCTCGCACTCCGGCACTCCGAGATCGAATATTGACAAATTTCGACTGTTTTTGGACACAACACCTAACGGTAGCGATCACACTCTTTCGTAAAAGGTATTTGGATTCTGTGGTAAGTTCTTTTCATGTTATGAGTACACAACTTTTGCAACTGATGTCTTTGAATAGTCACTTAAAC